AGGCATTTTAATTTATGTGTAAGAATGTAAACCCTAATGTTATTATACGCTTCTACATCTTTAATCCAAATTTATTTTACCCAGGGTTTGGGTGTTTATAGTTGGTATCCGAGTCGCGTTTCTCGGAACCATTCCTTACACAAAGACTTAAAAACATTAAATGCAAAACTATCACTCAACATTTTCTTGTTAAATGTAGGTACAAGAAATGAAGAGAGGAAGACCTCCACTAATCGAGTAGCTCGGGATGGCTTACTGCGAGAGGATGTTGACTAACTCTTTAATATGTTTGAGAGACTCATCTCTACCCAGCAGGCCCGGGAGGAAAGAAGGGAGCTATCTGACCTTCCCTCACTGCCACAATTTGAGCCACTGTTGCAGCGGGAAGATCCGGAGCCACCCCAGTACAACCCTGCTCCTTTACTGTACAATCTGGCACCACAGTATAATCTGGTGCCTCTACCATATCATCCAACACCACCACAGGGCCACCCAATCCCTCCCCAGCACAATCTAGTTCCTCTTCCACGAGACCCAATTCCACCTATGATGCACCCAGACTACATTGAGAGGTATAAGAGACTAAACTCATATACTTTTATAGGGGCATCCTCTTTTAAAAAGGTCGAGTTTTGGTTAGCTGAGACAGAGAAGGCTTTTGCGACTCTTGGGGGTGGTTCTCGAACAGAAGGTTATACTTACCACCTACATGCTTGTGGGAGAGGCAGGCCACTGGTAGTAGCTAAAGCAAGCTACCCTACCCGTTCTAGTCACTTGAGAATAGTTTCTAATGGCCTTCAATGCAGAGTACCTCATAGAGCACCTCTGATATTTGAAGGAGATGGAGTTTGTACACCTAGTTTAAGGTGAGATGATTGTGTCAGAGTATGCCTGAAAGTTCCTAGAGTTAGACCAGTATTCCCCTGAGAGCATGATGAATGAAGGCGAGAAGGTAAAGAAGTTCAAATGGGGCCTCCGCCCTAAGATTAGCAGCAGTTGTACGTATTTGAGCTTAGTACCTACTTAGTTATTTTGGCCAACGCACAACTAATGAAAAGGAATCTTGGCATCTTTCCTCCAGTAATGGGAATCCCAGACCCCTTATTTCACGCCGTAGACCAGCACCTACTGCACCAGCTTAATAGAACAAGAGGGTTAGGCTAGTGACTCAGGCTCTTCCTCAAACTCCAACAACAGGGTGCGATAGGACTTGCCAGGATTATGGCAAGCATCATGGGGACCGACCCTGTTATCATCTCAATAATACCTACCGCATGTGTGGGAGTACCCAACATTATACCAGAGAGTGCCCGCGGAACCAGAATAAGGCTAGACCTCTTATCCAGAGCAGAGCTTACAACCTCACTCAACATGATGCTAAACCCAATCTGGACGTGATACAGGATATGTACACTATCTGTAATCACCTTGCACATATTTTGATTGATACTAGTACTTCACATTCATTTGTCTCACATATTTTTATACAAAACTTAAATGTATCATCGGAAGGACTTATTTATGTGTTGTTTGTGTCCACTCTTGGAAGTAGGACATCTACTAGGAGAGGTTATATATAAAGCTTGTATCATAAACATAGTAGATAAGAAACTAAGTGTGGATCTGATAAAGATTAACAGGGGAGACTTTGATCTAATCCTAGGAATGAACTGGTTAGCGGCATACCACACTACCATAGATTACTTAGATAAGAAACTTGTATTTAACCCTCCTAATGAAGAGCCGTTTACAAGTTAATGAAAATTTTAAATATAATTTCCTTATTTCATATTATTTACTCTGTTGACTTCTTTACATTAGGCAAACCTAAGAAAAAAGTCTGCATTCAAG